ATCACATAATATTCCATGGACAATGCGAAGGTTTTCGAATGCACGAAACGTTCGTGGAATAAATTTAGGTGGTACTTGAGCGGAAAGCTGATCCACCGGACACAACGAGTTGCGAAACTTCTTTGACTATCGTCATGAAATTTTACTCGGATCAGTACCTCCTGTACCGGTTCACCATTTCGAACTTTAAACTAAAAAAAATAGAGATATTAAATCGGAGGAACGCGAAAGTAAGTATCGGAGAATATCATTGGCGCGAGGGCAAGCCCAGGAATACATAGATGGAATATAATTGTGCGTGCATTGCGAAACTTTGCCGGATAATAGAGCGCGTACAGATCCCTGGCAAACGTTCGTAGAGAACGGTGAATCATTTATGCGGAACGGAGTCCAACACACGGGAAGATTGCGCATGCATTGGTTATGTATCTTCTTAGAGGAGCTATCGTCGTATTGTCAATAGGATAACCTCACAGTTTTGCGAATATTTTTATCAGCTTGTTGTCCATATAAAGGAATAATCGAGCGGTTGCAATTACCTTGGACGATTGCAACAGAATCAGAAGATAGATTCGTGATAATATATATATATATATATATATAAAATAGCTGTCTGCCAGATTTTCCTAATCGAACGTTCAAAATGCATAAATTGCATTGGCGCGTAAATAGATCACGATTCGAGAATGGATTAAGGAATGAAATACCGGTTGGTTTTTTAATTCGTACAAGCAGTGGACATCGAAAATTAAGGAGCAGCAGGTACTTGAGGGAACGTCAAAAAACGGTGCTCGCCTCGATTACAAATCTCACGGCGAAGATGTTCGAAGATAGCGAAAGAATATTCGAGCACCCCAATGGGGCCCATTAGGATCCAAAGGTAGTTGGGCCAGTCCTCTATCTGACTGTCCTTCTTTCTCTCTTATTCTCGATGAATCCATGGTAGAGGAGGCGGGGGATGGTTGGCCGGTCAAGCCACATTCCGTTGGCCAACCGGCTCCTTGGAACCCTTCCTCCCCCTCTTTAGTAGACGGTTCTCTATATACAAGCTCTCGCCTTCTTATGCACCACTACGATATGTGCCCACAAGACCGCCAATATTATTTCGACTAGACAGCGGTCGACTCGACGCAACCTTGTCAGAGAGCAATGCATAGGTATCTGCTTTCACAGAGTGAAACGTTACTGGGAAGAAAACCTCAAAGGTCGAGTTTAACGCGCATACTGCATGTTTGCTCACACCGCTTCTCAGAAACTTCTTTTGTTATTCTCAAAAAAACACAAGTAACGTGACGTTCCTCATTTTTACCTATTCAATTCGATTCGATTTGTTCGTGTCATGATTTTTCTCGCCTCGATTGCTTAATTTTCTCATTCTATGCCTATTAGTCATTCGTGTTGTAATAATATACATATATATGTTTTTACGCGATATTATCAAATCATATTTTAAATTTTATCTTCATTTAAAATTTTGATTTCGTGATCAAAGAATCGAAAAAGATACGATGAAATTATTCTTAATCGATTTTTTGTTTTCGTTTAAAAAATATTTTCTTCGATTCAAATTCCAATGATTGCCAGTAAATATATATATATATATATAACTTGGATCATTTTAACGAATATCGAATCGCGGGCATCATGTATCCCGGAACCGTGCAAGTATAAATATTTCGAACGAACAATGTCGCTGTGCGATCGTCGGGGTCGAGGTCCCGAGGAAGGTTCGAGAGAACTCGCCCACGTAGGGTGTTGTAAAAGTTCGGTACGAATCTGCCCTCCGCCAACCACCTTCGCCGCTATCATACGCTCCAACTACTTCCCCTCTTCTTCCATCACTCCTCTTAACTTCTCTTTCATCTCCTTTACTTGTTCTCCCTCTTGCAGTCGTTTGCTCTCACCACCTGCGATCTCTTGCCCTCTCGTTCCTTGACTTTTTATCTCGCTTTTACCACGGATCTCCTCGTCCTCGTGCTTGCGCTCAAATACGCCAAACGACGGAAACCTCGATCGTTCCATACCCACTCGTCGTAATGCATTGCGTCGCGTCGCATAGCGTCGCACAGGATCGACGAGACCCAAGAATATAATACGGATACCTTGGCATGGAAGGTGGTTGGTCGGCTAAGATGTTTAAGGGGGAGACTCTCCCGAGAGCGGTGATCCTCCGCTGAGAGAGACCGCAGAAGCGAGGAATGAGTTGAGGAGGTGAGGAAGGGGGCTCATGCGCAGAGGGTGTCGACGGTGGACTCAAGAGGCAAGGGGGCTTTCTCGGACCCCGAGGGCCTCTGGACAAGTCAGCAAGAAGAACGGCAGGGATGCAAGCGGGGAAGAGAGAAGGATGAGAAGTGACCGGATGGCCTTGGTCCCAAGACTTGGTTAGTTACTGTGCGGCCGACTATAACTGGTCGAGAACTTCGTAACACACAGGGCGGTATCTTCGACTTCGACCGCTTTTTAAAACAACCGCGATATCATGTAACGTATTACAGATACAAAACTAACCCCTAAACATGGATCATACCGTGCGAAACGGTCATCATCTTTACTGAAAATGGTGCATAGTGTATTTCTTTCTGTACATTATATTTAGAATGACGCACAATAATCATAGTCTTTCCTTACTTCCTTTTTCTTCTTCGTTTAAACATGACCGTATCATTATTGCGGTAATTTCCTCTGATTTGCAATACTTTTCTTAGGAACATGAAATTACTCGTTAACGCGATGAAATAATAATGTTTCAATTATTTTTTTTAAATCTTCATCTTGAAACAAAACGTTCAAAATAAATCAAATTTTACTGCGTAAGTTCTTTCTTCTGGTTTTTTTCTCGTTGTATTTTTTTTTTTTTTTATAAATATATAATCGTGGGACATTTTTAAATTGGAACAGGAACAAAAGTATAAGAATAATTATGACTTATTTATTAAATAAACAATTTAATTGCGTTAGATGAAATGAGATATAAATAGAATGAAATTGCTCTTCGTCGCTTTCTATCTCCATTTTCATCTAATGCAAAATTAAATTACTTATAATTTAATCATTTTTGATCCTCGGAATTGATGTCCCACGAATAATCTTGATTATCTTCGTATAAAAGATGTTATTGGAAACTTGACTCGCAAACTTACAGGAGGTTTCTGTCTGGAGTGAAAATGAATGGCCTGGTTATTTAGTCAGCATTGCTCGTTATTGCTCAACAGGGGCGACTTATGGAGCCATATAAGAAAGTATATCTGTTACTCGCAAGAAACTATATGCTAGCGCTTCACTAAGCTTGTATAGATTCATGGAGTTAATAATTATTTTTCATGAATTTGCAAAACTTATTACTTATTACTTAAAGTACATGTAACGGATAAAATATCAAAGATGTATAATCTGTTTTCCAAATATGCCGAGTATCTCTTGATCTGAAATTCACGAATAAAAGAATGTAATTTTGTATATACAATAATATGTTATAATTATGTATAATATATGTATAATATGTATAAATATATGTATAAAAATAAAAAGAGCAAATAAACGTGAATTTTCATTAACTGGCAGTAAATTTTATTTTTTACTTTCGAAAGCAATGAGAATTAAATTCTTATATGAAAATTCGCCATGAAATCCGAGGCCCTCGTTACGACATGTTCGAATTCTAAGTAAGATAAAACACCGTCGCCATCAATGTCGCTTTCTTCCAAAATTTTTCGACATACAGTAGCCACTTCATCGGTATTCAAACCATCTCGAACCAATTGTCGACAGGTACATTCCAAATCGCTCATTCCCAATACTCCATCTTCGTCAAAATCTATTCACAAAAAATTATGAAATATCGTCAAGATTCAAAAATAAATTAAAGTAATTGATGAATAATAATCAAATCAAATTTAATTGAAACTCATTTGAACCAATTGAATTACAACATATAATTGTAATTCATTATAAGTATTCGCGAGAAAATCGATAATCCTTCTACAAATATTAAGTCTCTCGTATAATACGAATATCGTGTCTAGATATAGTATATATTTCTGATTCAATAGCTATAAATATGAATTCTTACGATTGGTCCTATTGTTTGATTTAGATTGCGGTTCATACCATAAATCTTAAAGGCATAAAAGACTTTCAAATCCCGTGGTGCCTGCTCCGAAAAAACCGACATCATATCAAGGAATTCCTCAAAACAAATTCCTTCGTTTGATCCTTCGTGTGTTGATTGGCTCGAATTTTTGCAATTCGTAAATACCTCTGAAATTCGTTGTCTAAACGGATTTTCCTACAACATTATGAATTTTTATTCGTCGTATGTCATGGTGGGAAATTCAAATTGAAAACAGATTCAATATTGTACAAAAATTGTGAAAAGATTAATCTAAGCACCTTTAACTCTGGTATCCGTGTTAAACAAGATAGTGGTATACGAAGTGTCGATGCTTGTTGAGGTGTCATGGATCGTGGAACTGTTCCAGGATTTCCCATATCCCGAAACCGTTTAAATATTCTAGAAATATATGGATGTAAGAATAGATCGATAATTATATATATTATATGTGTATGTATATACCTTAAGATTTCTTTGCGAGTAAAGAAGGTGCAATCTTGATAATCTTCTAGTTGTTCTTCGGTAAATGTAGCTACTTTATTTCCCATTTTAATTAATAATAATAATGATATACAGATAATTTTTTTTATCTGCGTATTATATCAGTGTTTCATTTACCGGTTAAAGCTTACAACTGAATTTTCGCACTTCCAATGTTCAATACGAAATCTAATAATAAGGGTGTGTCTGGGCGCTCCCACTTTTAAGAACCTTTTAGTCAGAAAGTTGAGGAAAAAACTTAATTAGCAGTATACATTTACTTTTTTTAATTAATATGTCGTTGTGTCGATTTTCTTCTTGCAAAATATGTTCACGATTATAATTACATATGTAATAAAAATGAAATACAAAATAATAGGGAATTAAGGTTTTTACAAAAGAATATATGTAATGTAATATGAATAAAATTAGTAATATTTAAATGTAATGATCTTCGTAATTTTCTTTACAATCGAGCAAATGATTAAGACATTCATTAAATTCATCTTCTTCCAAACCAGAGTCTGTAAATACATGAAATTTCTTTATATTCTTTATTTTACTTAACTGATTATGTAAAGACTCATACATTGCACCAAGATTATTTCCACTATGTAAACCAGCCATAACAGGAACAGATTGTACATCTAAAAATAAAAATTGATGAAAATTTATAAATATTAAATATAATATAAAAAGATTTTATATGATTTAGATAGACATACCTGTTCCTGCTAATAATCTCCAAGGACAATCAATAACATCTCCGGTTTCAGTAATATTATTATTAAAAATCTTTGGATATGGAAATTTTATGTTCAATGGTAATGAAATATTTGATAAATACGTTGCTGATGCATGACTATTACATGATAAATAAAGCATCATCATTTCATGTACAGTAGAACATCTATATGCTGGTTTTGATATTTGTTTCATTGCATAAGAAATAGGTCGTTTTAATCTTTCTTCAGAAATTCCTCGTAATACTATGCTTTGCATATTTTTATCCATTGATATATCACAATTTGGTGTCAAACTTGTCCACAAATGTCCTTCAAAATTATCAAGTACATCGATTAAATCTGTTTTTGCAATCATTGGGAATGGTAAAGTTAAACTTGTTGCGACTGCTTTTCTACCCATTTTATTAAGATCTGCGCACAAATCGGATAAAACCACGTTTGGATATTCTTTTCGTCTATATCTAATAGTTAATGTATCCAAAGCAGTTGCTAAAAGTACACTGCTATGATATTTTAGTTCAGAATTATATGTTAAATAGTTGAATATTCGTGGATCTCCAATTTTTGGCCAAGCAGTTTCTGCACAACAAAGTGGACTAAATAATGAAGCATGTTCTCCTAAATGTTGCCAACACAAAGCTGTATTAAGTATCTTAATCATGTTGGATGTGGAAGGTTCAGACTTTTTACTGTCCATACATGGAAATGACACTATACTTTTTCCATATTCATCTCTTAAATATTGTATGCATGATGCTCCAATTCCAGCAAAACCATCCACAGAATCTAGAATTACCTGTAATTTCAAAATATTATCAATATTTTAGGATAATATATTATAAATTATAAACCTACATAAGTACAAATAATCACTTACCTGAAAACCTTGCATTAAATCACATTCTTCTACATATGCTCTTATTCTTTCTGAAAAATCATCTGAAAATTGTTCCGTATTCCATAAATTACTTCCATAAGTAAAAACATTAAATGGATGCATTGTGTCATTGTGTCTATATTGTTTAATGACATTCACTGTTCTAGGATGAAATCTAGGTAATAGATAATCTACCCATGAATCAGTATTATTTTCTAAATTAAATGATGTTGATGCTGAATCTGAAGTTGTAGATGGTTCATCTAAACTTTTAATAAACTGAGGTTTATCAATTGTTTCTTCTTTCAAGATCTCCACTTTTTCATCATCCCATAAAGATTGTTGAACTTCTTTTGATTGAGTATCATACAAAGAGCCTTGTTCTTTCAAATATCCAAATGCTCCTTTCAAATCTACAAGCAGTAATCTAGGAGTATAAGTAACTTGTTTCTGAAAAAAATTATAATTCAATTAGAAAAAAATTATAAACTTTTATATTATATTTTTGAAATATATTGAATTATATTGAATTGAAATATATTTATACTTTTAAATTTTCACCCTCTCTATACAATACATCATTATTTATTTCTGATGGATTATCAGGATCATAAGAGAAATTAGTTTCCTAAAAATATTTAAATAAAGATTAAAAATTATTGAATATTATATTATATTTTATAATCTTGTTATCTTACGATTAATATATTCGAAAATACCTGTATATTCCACCAATGAGCACCAATAAAATTGGAATAATGGCCTAATTGAATAGTTAATATTTCTCGACATGTCATTTTATATTATGTTGTAATCTAAACTTTTTATATGATTAATTATATGAAATATGAAAATACGGTTATATACACGAAATACACGTGTATTATATTACGAATTTATTATTTCATACAATTTATAAAGTATACATAAATATATGTATTATTAACAAAATATTACAATTTCTTAGATAATAAAATGTATTAAGTTCAAAATAAGTCAATTCAATTTCACTAAAAATTATTAAATACGTTTCTGTTGTCTAAAAGATGTCTAAATTTGCTTCCATACTATTACTACTAACATGTATGTTTATATTTTATGGTAAAATATATAATGTTATAATGATATACGATAAATACATAACATTTTTCAAAGGATGTAAAATAATATATACTTAAATCCTTAAATATAATGCTATGTTATTTAAAATCGTATTATATGGGACAAAGAATTGTAAAAAAATAAGGTTAAGTTTCAAAAACTAACAAAATTATATTGTATTGTATATTTAAGTTAAAATTTAATTAATAACAAAAATTTACTTTTTGAAACAAATAGATTTTTTTCTGAATAAATAATAAATTAATTAATATAATAATGGTAATATGGTAAGTAAATTAATATGATAAAGTTAAAATGACAGATAGTGTTATTCAGGATATAAAAAATATTATATGCGATAAAATGAAAATACAAAAGTAATAAAAATAAATTTAAAATATAATATATTATATATAATTCATATTATAAATTTTAATAATTTTATTATATGAATGTGTTAAAATTCAATATTCTAAAATTTATCTTATTCTTTTTATTTATTTTTATCTTATTTAATTCAAGATTAACGAAAAAGATATTAAAATGTTTCTATAATACATTTTCAGGTTGTGTAAAAAAAATTTATAAAAAAATATGATAATTTTTTATAAATTTACATAAATTCAAATTAGAAATTGGATTGAATCATTTATATTTTTATATTTATAAAATATTAAAAAAAATTTTTTGAATTAATAAATCAATACTTACACATATATAAATATTATAATGCTAAATGTTATGGAAAAAAATTTAGATAAATTATCAAAATTACTTAGTAAATAATTATTAATTTTAATTTTATAATATTTTTAACATATTTTTATAATATTGTATAATCTAATATATATAATATAATATAATAATATATTATTCCTAATATTTTCTTATTCTATAAATCTTAGATATATTTAAGAACTTTGACCCAAAATTTGTTTTATTGCTGACATTTCTTTATAAGACATAGGTTCCAACATTAAACCTGGAACAGATGGATTAAGTTCTAAATCTCTTAATTCATTCACTTTAACTTTTAAATTACTTCTTAACTTATTGATTTCTATGTCACATTCTTTTTGATCTGTAATATGAAAAAAAAAAAAATGTAATTAATTCTCATTCACTTTCTAAAATTATAACAGAAAAATAATAAATGAAAATACCTTTAATAAGTAATTCTTCTGCAATTTTGGATGGCATTTTAAGCAATAATGGTCCAATAGTTATCCAAATTTTCTCACAATTCTCTTTCTGCAATGCCCTCATTCCAACTCTATCATTATTTCGTCTTTTATCCAAAGCAATTATTTCTTGTCGATCAGTAAGAATCTCACCTGCTTTTTCTTCCACTTGTTGTATATGTTTCAAAGCCTTCTGCTGATCAAATTTCATCTGCAACAAAAATTATGATTAATTATTTGAATATTATTGTATTATAAAATGTATAATAAAATGTTTCTATAAATAATGTTATAATTCTTAAACTGAATGATAATAAAAGAAAAAACGTTTAAAAAATATAAAAAATCAAAATTACATTCTATTCAGTCTTAGAAATATTATCAAATATTAATCATTTATATATTATTTTAAGACAGAGCGATACGTAATGCTTTCTCTCTTCTAACTTCCCTATCAAGTAATTTTTCTCTATCTTTCTTCTTCAAACATTTTTGCTTAAATGTTTTAAAATCACTAACTGCTGCAGGATCTTTAGATTTAAAATGAGTCACTCTGTATTCTTTTTTATTACATTGTCCTAGTCCTTTTCTGTCAAATTTTAAATAAGTTTTAACAGGATATTTTATTCCTTTTCCTGTAGGACCAAGACCACCTTCTTCATCCCATCCACAATTTAATAATATTTTATAACCTTTATTTTGTTTTGATATCCCATACATTGTGTTTTTTAATTTTGGTTTACTATTGAAAATATGAAGTGTAGATGTTTCATGTTTCTTCCAAGTTGTTTGGTAAAAATTAGTCTTACAAATTTTACAATAAAATCCCTCATTGAATCCCTCCTCTATATTATCATTATCTCTACATATATTGTCGTTATAATTTTTTAAAAGTCCTACAGATTCTGATTTTATCTTTAAAGTATCTGCATTTTTTTCTGAATCATTCGTATCTCTTTCTTGTAATGTTTTGTTAGATACAGATTCTGATTTTTTCTTAAGTAATGCAACTATGTTCAAATAATTTTTTTTTAATGCCAATTGTGCCGCAGTAAGACCAGATTTCTCTTTGGCTTTTCTATTGGCACCAAGATTTAATAAAAATTCTATAATATCCAAATGACCACAATATGCAGCTGACATAAGAGGAGTCCAACCAAAATCATCAGTCAAATTAACATTTTCCCATGTTACATATGTTGATAAAAATTTTAAGTCTTTTTGTTCTACTGCTTTTAATATTGCATTAATTGTCACTTTTTCCTTAGCAAACTGATTCTTCTTTATTTTTTCATTCGACGAAAATGGTTTTGGTATTGAATTGCGATTATTTAACGTTTTTAATTTATGTTTATTTTCAGATTGTAAAGTCATATCACTTGGTTCAGATATAATTTCTTCATATGCCTTCTTTGCTTCATCTCCTTTAAAACATAAACAATGATCTTTCTTTTCAGTAGATATTGTTGAAATAGTATCGCAAGTTTCTCGAACGAATGTTTTCCATGTAATATCGATATTATGAGTAAAAAAATTTTGTTTTAACATTTTATATTAATGTTTAATTTTAATTTTTATATATTAAAATTAATATTATAATTAATGACAGAGATTTATAGAGATATTATAACATAAATTAATTTTTTTAATGAAACAGCAATTACCTTTATAATCACTGTAAGCAAATAAGTAAATCAGTAGTATTTTTATTATCAATTAAACCATTTCATTAAATTAAAATCATTAATGAGACACAAAATAAATTTATCATCTAATACATTTCTTGTTCCACGTTATAGAGACTTTTTTAAAAGTTTTTTTAACCTTTTCAATATTGTTTCTAACTTTATTGATTTAATAGAATAGCACTACATGAGAAATAGCCAATAGAATGCTTCGATGTTCAATCTTTTTCCATATATATCGAAATTATATAGAAAATGAAAAGCCTTTGTAAAATTTTCATAGAACACTCCTATTTAATTTTTTTGTTACTAGAATTAATAGTATTAATATCACGAACGAGGAATAAAACAAATTATTTAATGAAATATAAGATAAAAAAAAATTTAATAGAATTTTTCGTGTTCTAAAATATCAATTATATAAAAAATGAGAATGTTTGGTATGCAAAATATTCTTTGTATTTTTAATTACGATACAATTAAAATAATATCAATTTGTAAAATTTTTTCATAAAAATAGATTTAAATATATTATAATATTAAATTTATTTATATCGTACTTCCTTTTACAATTATAAATATTAGTTATATACAAAAAGTCGAAAATTTGATGAAAAGAAAACATAAAATTAATCAAATATTGAAATCATGTTTTGAAGATATAAATTTTATAATGCAAATATGACACAAGACAAATAAATAATAGAAGAAAAGATGGTTAAAAATTATGGAAACATTACCATTTTTAGAGTACCGTAGATAAAACTTATATAAATAAATAAAAAACAAATAATAGAAACATAGAAATAAAAACGAATTAATTGTCAACGCTATCTCTTAATTATTAAAGACATTTAGACAGGATAAAATATAGTAAGAATTAAGGATTAATGCCATCTTTCCAATATATTTTTGACATTCAAGAGATAGTATTGATGATTAATTTTTATTCTATCTTCTCTTTGCTCTTCTAGTATTTGCTTTTTTTCTGTTTAGTTTCATTTGCGGTATTCTAAAGATGGCGGCGATTTTACAATTTTCTTTCTATTTCTAACTTCCGTTATTTATTCTACTTATCCATACTTGTTTAATAAAATTTACACGCTCACTCCGATATTTGATTAAGTTTAATAATTTTTTTTACTGAAATAATAATAATATTTAACCAATTATATTAATTTGCTACGTACACTTTTTTAAATAAATCTTCTTATCAAGTGTTGAAATTATTTTATTCGCTTATTTTATTCCATATTGATTGAAAATAATAATATTTAACGTAAATTATTATTTCAAATAATTTTTTCAATTTAATTTTAATTTTAATTAATATGTAACTTTTATTTTTATATTTTTATTTTTTATATATGCACATCATGCACATTTATTCTTTTTTTATTTTATACATGGAAAGTAAATTAAAAAGTATTATTATAGTCTAACGACATACATTTTATAAATTTTTTTTGAATTTAACATTTCATAATATGTTTCATAATATGTAATGTTCTATGATCTATGTTGTACGTTATCTATGGTAAAAATTACATGATCGTATTTTACTTAGTCACATGATCGCATAATAGCGTGGTCACAAAGTTATATGAATGAATGTACAGGTATATAAACAATTAATTTTTATTATAGAGATATTTTATGACACTTAAAAAAGAATGGCTTTACAAAATTGTACGAAGATAGCGATTGGATGGTAGGTATGTAAATGTAAGATATTTCAATCGCTGTTCTATCGTAATAGCCGTTTTTTTGTGGTTAACTTTTTACATAAGAATCGTGTACTTGTATTTTTTATTTAAAATTTAGTAACATTTATTTTTCTTTGTATTTAATAATGTATAATTGTTATCATTAATTATTTTATATTTAATCTGATTTTGAACTTAGTAAGTAAATAATCTTTTTTACAGGTTTATATCTGCTGGAATAGGAGTATATGCTTTTTCAAAAGCAAGAAAAGATATAAATGCAAAAAGATTTAAAAATATGAAAACGAGACAGTTCAATATCTCTAATAATAATTAGACTTATTTGTGCATTTAATAAATAATTGTAAAATAATAATTGATAATTGTCTAAAAAAAATGGCTGGATTACCTCAGTTTAGTGAAGAACAGTTGAAGTTAGTACGAGACATAGAAATAGAAATGATGACTGATATGTTCCATCGTATGACAGCAGCATGTCACAGAAAATGTATTCCACCAAAGTATACTAGTTCAGAATTAAGTAAAGGTGAATCTGTATGTCTTGATCGTTGTATTGCTAAATACTTGGATGTACAAGAACGTATTGGAAAAAAATTACAACAAATTTCTTTGCAAGAAGGCAAAATTGTAGAACAACCAAAATTAAGTTAAATCAAAATAAAATAGTTTATTAAGAGAGATATCAATGGAAATTTTATTTTTATTCATTCTATCTAATCATTTTTTTAAGATATCAATCTTTCTAAAAAAGGATAATTAGTAATTACATTTTCAATTATATTTATTATAAGATTAAACAATTTTTAAAAACATAGAATAAATTATAATAACATCTTTATTCTGTATTTAATTATACAATGTGAATAAAATTTAAATATGATTCAGAATTAATTAAATACTTAATATTTTGAAACATTAATAATATAAGTAATAAAACTTAATTCAGGTCTATATAACAAAGATACATTTTTTTAATAATATATAATTCACAAGTAGAAAAGTGTTTTATTTCATCATAATACAATCAAGTAGAAAAAATAACAATGCAATCAAAAAATCAGTCGATATATTAATTATATAAACACAATGATGCAATTTTTTTTAGCACAAAAAAATTATGTACAAATATAAGTATCGTCTTATCATCGAAATTACGATACATCTTCAGAATTAGTTTTATTTGTTAGTTTCTCCTTCAATGTAACTTTTGCTCAAGGAGAATAAAAATCATTAATTCCTTTTTCCCTTCGTTGTCCAAATTATTATCACATATATGAAACACTTTAAATTTAAATCTAACAAGTCATTTAATATTAACCAGCTGTTTTTTCTTTCATTGGATGGATTGTTGCTAATGTTAATGTATGCTGACCTCCACCCGCGACTCGTACTACTGTTTTACCTTCCAATTGTTTTCCTTTGACTAGTGTAGGTTCTTCAACATCCTCTTCTTCTCCTGTACCTAGCTGGCCACTTGAACCCATACCCCATGAATATAAATCTCCTATACAAATATAAAAAGATAAAAATACCATATATTTAACAATATAATAATAATAATAATAATAATAATAACGAAATATAAGAATAACGAAAGATAAATAATAACGACGTTAGCAAAGAATGCTACCTAATTCAGTGACAGCAAAAGATTGGGCACTGCCTGCTGCAACATCAATACATTTAAAGGAACTTAAATTAGGAACTAGTGTTAATTCTTTTGCATCCAAACAATTAGAACCAAGTCCAAGACGTCCATATTCTTTACGGCCCATAACAAATACTTGACCAGAATCATCTAAGGCAATAGTATGATGCTGCCCGCTGCTAATATGCCTCCAAACTTTTCCACTAAATGTTTTTGAAACTTGTGGATGAAAATGAGTTATAGGATCTTTTAAGCCTAAAAATGGTTATTTGGAATTACTTTTTAAAAGAATTACGAACTTTTATACACTCTTCTATTCGTTAATATTTTATTTCAACTTACCAATTTGATAATAATTATTTAATCCAAATACATATATATCTCCCTTTTGATATTCTTTAGCAAATGTACAATATGTTCCAGCCCAAATATCATCAAATTCTAATTTTTTAGTAACTTTAAATTCAACTAAACCAGGAGTTAATAAAGGACCCATACCGTGACGGGTATTTCTACTAGCTGTTCTAGCAGCTACTCGTCCCAATTGACCTTGTTCTCCACAACCGCATGTATATACATGTCCATTTTTATCAAGTAACACTAAATGATCAGCACCAGACGCTATTTTAACTATGTTTACATTAGGCAGTATTTCTATTGGAAATCGTTCATTTCCTTTTAATGTTAGACCCATAGTACCATGAGAATCCTTGAGGAAATAAATGAGTTATTAATATAAATATTTTAATATTAATAACAATGCAAATAAGATAATAAGATTTAAGATAATAAATTTATATTTAAAATGTAAGGAAAATTATACCCTAAAAGAGCCCCATGCAAAAACTCGTCCATCTTCTAATAAAGCGGCACTATGAGAATCTCCAGCTGTCACTTGAATAGCTTTACTTGGTAATTCAACGGAACCTGGTTCAGTCTCAGAACCATCCTTAGATGTATCTCGTCCCAATGCACCTTCGTCATTGCATCCAAATGTTAATACTTCTCCGGTTTGTCTTAGGCACACATTGTGCATACCACCAGCTGCTACAGATATTATATCTTGATATCCAGGTACAACTGCTGGTCGTGTTTTTTCAACAACTTCTTCTCCTAAACCTAGTTGTCCAACATCGCCTTGTCCAAATACTAATAATACGCCGCCAGTCGCAGATTGTCGTAAATCGGGTTTCACAACTAATTCTGTGAAATGCATGCAAATGTCTAGTACTATTTTATGGTATTTGGTTTAGAGAGGTACAATTATGTTTGTGCCGATCCACATTTACCGCAGGACACGTAATATTCGCGGCACTATAACAGAAAAATTATTACGACGGTTTCACGAAATTTTTTTACCTAAAAAATATTAATTTATTTCTAACTAGCAATTAAAAGGAAGCAATAATTATCGATCGTGAAACACATTGTCTAAACATATCCATGTGCTTCGCGGTTATATATTTCGATCAAATTTTTCTCGGCTAATATATTTTTCGACGCAAAAAATAAATTGTAAAAAATAACTTAATACTGACGAAATAATAATTTACCTTGTTTTTTCCTTATCTGTTTTGGCTCTCGTGGGCCTTTTGCAGAATTGTGAGCTGGCCGTTTTGTTGCTTTCCTTGGCGGCACTAAAAGTATACCAAGGTTATGTTTACAAATATGTGTATAAAATCCTTTTTATGACTGTCACGTATGGATAAATAAGCGATTTTAATATCGCCACTTATATACGTACTACTTTTTTAATATAATTGTTTTGTAAATGGAATATATAGCGCCTTGTAATCAATTGGCGCCAAAAGTTACAATGATGCTGACCTCGCGACTGTTGCGCAACTCACGAGAGGCGCTAACGTCTGGCTTACACAGAAAACGCGTCACGTTATTATCGTCGGCTGATTTTCAACTATAGACTTCACTTCCGATATACAAAACATAATTCTCCTAACGGAAATTTTATCCCTTCCTTTTTAACTATTTAATACGTATGTGCACGTAATACGTATGAAAATACGTTTTGATCCGGTTTATTTGGGACTTGCTTTAAATTAAAAGACAAGCATTTAATTGTCAATAAGAAAAACAGATTATTTTAAGTCAGTCATGATATTTAATAATAATTTAAGTATATACGTATGTTTATATAATTATCATAAATAAGTATTTTATTTTTTATTTATTGCATTTACATATTTTCAGTGATGATATTGATGATTTTATTATGTTTAGAAAATTACAATAATTTTTTTTTTATCATCGAATCATCTAAGATCTAATTTGTAAATATTAAAATATATAAAATATTTAGTAAAACAAGTAAAAATTTATATATTCCTTGATAGATCAATAATTCATTATAAAAGTCTATTATAATTATAAATTTCCGTTACGTCAAATTGCTTATCATAGTTTTATCTAATCGTTGTATCATATTGTCTTATTGTCTCATTCTTTCCAGGAATGTTTGCGGATTTGGCAGTATGGATCAAATATTTTTAAACAGGATTTCGTGATAATATCGTGAAACGTAAAAAGAGAGAAAAATAAAAGTGACGAATGAAATAAAAAAAACGTGTTAAACTTTTAACTCCATAATATTTGATTTGAAGGGAATGGCAGAGTGGAAATATTATTGGAAGGAAATGGGGAACAACTTTGGGGAATAGGCTCTATTATACAACGTGCAATCATTTCTCTCGACATGCGTTTTCATCACAGTGTTCCAAATTCATTCAACACGACGATTTCGATGCAAGCTTCGAATTATTCCATGTCATGAATAATCGTCATTTCATATTAAAGTGTGGATTCATGCGATTCATGATACGATTCATGCTAAATCGCAAATTAAAAAAAGCGAAGGGATACTTCGTCTAAGTTGGCCCTTTTTGATCCACGATATGTCTCGTAGACAGTCGACGAGAGAGGGAGTCGGACAGGGTGAAGAGGGAAGGGGATGAATTTGAACCAGAGGGGGCTGGCCGTTGTTATCAGAGGGGTCAGATACGTTGGTGCGCGCCAGTCGAAGCCGAGACTTCGTCCGCGCAACTTCTCGTGGACCTTGTCTGTCGAACGGTCTTTTCCGTTCGAACTCTTTCGACTCGACGATTCACCATTCGTGTTCCCTATTCAAACCTCGTCGTCATTTATTTTTTTCTTTTAAAAAAAATCACGAGAAAAATATGTCACACGATTATCTATAACATGTTTGTTCGTAATCGAAGGAACATTTAAAATTCGCGGGTTTGTGTTTACATTTGAATCACGTTCGAACAACAATCGCAACAGTTTGAAATCGAGAGTTCTGCGATAAGGAGAGCAGTTCATGTAGAAAAATCAAGAATCATGACGAAAGTGCGCCAATACAGATTTCTTCCGCTTCTTGTGCATATCCTTCTTGGCGGTAAGTTTGAAAACATTCCTTTTTCATCGTTCCATCGTTCCAGTTGAAATGTTCGTTTCCTTCTTTTTTCTCCTTCTTTTCTTTCAAGCATTACGAAGTAAATTTTAAAATCCAACCGAATGTTTTAGATTTTTTTTTTTAGATTATTACGCGTATCGAAAATTTGCGTCTTTATATTTATTGTTATTTATTTATAAAATACTTATTGCTATCCTCGGTGTAAAAATATTCAGATCGCGTAAATATGCGTAACATGTGAATACGAAAATTTTTGTTCATTTCGATTAAAGCGCAACGCGCTCAAAATTGATCTTTTGTCCAAAAATCAAAAATCCTTAAATCTTTCCCCTCCGTGAATTTGCTCGCGAAAAAACTTAGCCCTTTTCGAGAAGATCCGTTCGAAACTCGTCCCTAATCGAATCGATTAGATCATGATCATGCACACGGGAGAGCCATTCTCGCCGCTCTCTCAATCAGACTAAGTGGTTTCTCAAATGCAAGAAACTGCGCATCGTTTCGCCAAGTTTACACGTGCTTTTAACAAGTACAATACTATTGTCGGGGGAAAGCATTGAACGACGAAGAAACGACGGGAAGACTCGACGTATTCTTGCATTTTCTAAATCTTCGAGGAGCGTCTTTTGCCCCCCCCCCCCCGAAGAACCGTTACCTTCGATATCGGATATTTTCGAGAGATCCTTGCTTTCGATTTGCAACGCTTTTCCAGAGATCCATTCTCTATCGCTCTTTTTGCTTCTTCAACTTTCTTCGCAATCTCTCACGATTTTTTACGATTTAGAGACAAGTGGAGAAAGAAAATAAGAAAAAAAAAAAAGAAGAAAGACAAGCGACGCGTACAAAGACGCACGATGGCACGTAAAAGCGAACGAAAGAATTAAGAATTTCGATTTTGTAAGACGCGATACGAAAATTCGGTGGGAAATACGCGATAAAAAGTGAACGAAAATTCACAGGAAACGCCATAGCCGCGAGTATAAATACATATACATAGAGGGGCAGGGGGCCAAAGCGAACGGGCAATCGGCCTGTGAAAGCACGAACAAAGGGATCGAGCGAAACAAAGAGAGAGAGAGAAAGAGAAAAAAATAAATCCGCAACCCAGTTTTCTCGTTATCAATCATTCGGCCGATATTTCGAAAGTACGAGCGTGGCCGATGGAAAATCCGCGGGATGAACGCTACGGGATGGAGGAAACGTTTCCGGTAATTCGATAATCGTCCGGAGTGTGGAGGAAGGGAAGGTTAACCGACTCGGCCATGCCTCGCAAAATTCTGTTTCACCGAGAATGTTCGACGGAACACCGTGGCGAAATATCGTGGCGTATCGTGGCCGGAATGGAAAGGTGATGAATTTATTCGAATCGTGGTTTCGGATTCCCATTCCATCCGTGATTTCTCTCTATCGCGCGCTTTTCGATTTTTATCGACTAATTGCTCGACGAATCGATCGATCCTACATCTCTCACCGGAAAACTTTCCAAAATGGAATGGAATCGCGTTAAACGTCTCGATCTCGAGATTCGATTTCTTCTCCCTTTGGGAGAATCGTTTTTTTTTCTTCTTTTTTTACGCGTTACACGTATGCTCGACTCGATCGAAAGAAGCGAAGGGAAGGAAGGGAAGAAGAAGACTAGTTGCAGGTGCGTACAATATCGGGGAGTGGAAGATCGAGGAGACTTAATTAATATCGAGGAGATACTTGGTGGCTTAGGATCGGATTACTCGTTCGAGGAAATCTTTCGAAGAGAGATGGGAGGGGGCGCCAACTTTTCCCCTTTAACTAAGGAAGGAGAAGCGAGAAAAGCGGGAAAAGAGGAAAGAAAGAGGCGGAAGACGCAAGATGGAAGGAATAGCGATCAGCTATTTCCACCTCGAGGACTCGTTGAATATGCATGAAACAATCGCATATCTCATGCAATTAGCCGAGGCAAATCTTTTTCCTTCGTTTCCTTTTCTCTTCTGCTCCGTCTTTTCTTTTTTTTTTTTTTTCCCCCCCTAACTTGTTCCCCCATCCTTCTCCTCGTTTCGTTCGTTTCCCCTTATCCTCGAGGTGCAGAAGGAAAACTTGACTCTAATCAGTGCGCATTTGCAATTTTCGCGGACGGTACCCACACCACCCCCCTCAGATGCAAATTAAATCGCGCCAATTCACATTTTTCCATCGATAAACTTCTACCATTTTCTACCTCCAGTGTTTTCCCCCCCTTTCCCTCCTGTGCATGTGACCATGTTCTTCCTCCTCGATATTTCCCCCCTCCCCGCCCTCCCTCCCTCTTATATAATTAAAGAATTCCGTCCGCGCCAATTTTTCCTACTAATTTGCCAGGCTTGATTTTTCCAAGTGGATCGAATCTAAAATTTTCCAGCACCAGAGATTGGAAAACGATAGACAGTGGCGTTGTTGCCACGAAATGACTGGGGCTCGTTTAAACATTAACCAGTTTGGAGCGTGCTTTAATGTCTCTTCTCGGGGAAGGAACAAAAAAGAAAAAAAGAGATAGCGAAAGAGAGAGAGAGAGAGAGAGAGAGAGAGTTGTCGCGGCGCGAAAACACGTTCCGTTGACTCGACAAACATTTTGTTCGCGGTCCTCCACCGATACCTCGTTGCCACGGATCCCAAATGCTTTCGCGTTTTCCTGGGAATCTCGTTCTTTTTTTTCTAAGGAGAGAGAAAAAAAAAAGGCGGTCTTTCCTTTTTTTTGAGAAAAAGAGCACTCCGCGACTCGGTGTGTTCTCAGAAAACATTCATACTCGGAGCGATGCTTGATCGAGTTAAAGTTATTTTTACGCGGGTCTCGCTTGTCTTAACCAATTGTCTTCTCTCGTAATTTGCATGCATATCCGCTCGAAGAATTTTTCAACATTGGTCAACAATTTGTCAACCTGTAGCGACATAGTAAAATTGTGAAAGATATCGTCGAGAAGGAAAAATCAAGTTTATTAATAAATTGAGACGAATAAAGATAGCGAAAAGTTAGAGTCGGAATAATTTTTGGAATCGGTTTGAATATTCTTGGAAATCAGGAACAAGATTAGACGAGTTAAACAAGTGGACCATTCGAGCACGCGTAGAATATTAAAGTGGGCTTTGTGCTGGTCGGCTTTCCCGTTAACGAGTATTAATTCTCGTACGAGGAAATATGGGTCAAAAGTTGGTGAAACGGATCGAGCGGGATGAGACCGCAGGGCGGAGTTAGGGCATGGTTTTCAACTAGTTTTAATCTGTCCCAAGTTTAGTTTGTAAGTTTGCTTTGTCACATTACCGCGTCCAACCTCAAATCCACATATTTTCCATCCGGTATTTTCTTTACGGTATTATCGTTCACAATCGATCGCAACGATAGCATTCCACTTTTCCAGGATGAGTCGGGAGAAAGCGAAGAACTCGAACGATACGATCATTCGCATGATTCCATGTTTTTCTCGGTGGATGTGATGCTTTCGAACGTCGAATATCCGAGAACATTAGAACAACGTCTGCCAAAAGACGTTCTCCGGCAGAAATGCATTCTCGAAACGACGACGAGGTATCGACTCGTCCCTCGATTCGCACAGATTTCGATTCGGATGAAAAGAATCGCGAGTCGCGACGGCGCCAAAAACTCTTTTCGAACTTTGATTAAACGAGGCGTGCTCGCAAGAATCCTCTCTCCCCCTATTCTTTGCTCCGTATGTTAGTCTCTCGTATAAATTTCGGATCATTCCCTTTGAAACACCGAGTCAAGACAAAAGCGGTCGAGTCGTTGGAAAGGGCAGGCTTTCCCCCTTTGTTCCTAGATACGACACCAGCCATTTAATAGACCGTACCTTTTTCCACGCTTCCCTTCCATCGCGAAATGGACACGTTTCTCCCGTCTCGACTTCGTCCTTCCTTCTTTCCTTCCTTCCTTCCTTCCTTCCTTCCTTCCTTCCTTGAAAAGCTTCCTTTCCGAAGCAGAAGCGGAAAGAAACGAGGATAGATGCGCGATCTTTGAACGATCCCGATTTCTCTTTTCACGTCCGAGTGAAAAATAATCCCGGAATCGGAAATACGCGGCGTGAGAAAACGGTGGAAACAATTACATGGGGACGGGGTTGGACAGAATTATACGGGAGCAGAGGGTGGAATATGGCGTTATCCGGCGTGTCCGGTAATTTGAAAGTCTAATGCGAGCTAGAATGATTTTTCTGAAAGGGGTCGCGAGTGTTTCGCTTCGTGCCACCTGTTGGGGGGGTGCGAATCCCATAAACTCTCCCTCCGGTCTAGCCTTTCTCTCCGTAAACAATTCCAAGCTTTTAAGTAATTGGAATACGCTCGTCTTGGAAACGGTTCAAACAATCGGATTCTCTCCTTTAGAGCCACCGCTCGTTTTGTATTCGTACCCGTTCCACCAACCCTGCCACGGGACGTGGCGAATCTTGTATTCGATTAGCCTGGATCTCGAGAACGGGCGAGCCAGATAAAACGTCCCTCCACGTGAATCGAAAAGTAGGATAGTTTTTCTTCTAATCCATTAACCGTACGTTGCTACGCTTCCACTGTTATCCCACCCTTCCGTTCATCCCTCGATCGAAAGAAATTCCTCTTCTCCTCTCCCTTGTTTCACGTCGCCCCGATTTTAATGAGAATCGTATATATAATCGATTGTAATCCGATTGTAATTTCGATTTTCGCCATTTCGGATCCCGCGCGTTTCGCTACCAGAAAATACCGAATCCACCAGGCTTTCCTGTTAATCAAGTAGCGGTTTTAAACGGCTTGTTCGGTTTACGCGGCCGGCATTATTCTCCCGTCCATTCGTACGCGCTATTTGTTTTGTTCTGCGATGAAATACCTTCCCCCTCTTCCCGCCATAAATCGAGATGTGCCTGTCTTGTCCCGCGATATAACGAATCGTCGTAAATTAATGCATCGAGTAGGAGGAGGAGGGGACGATTAGTGTATTAATGTTCGGGGATCGTGACTGTGATGACTGTGCTCGAAAATATTCACGTGTTTTT